AGAAGGTGTTATCAACAACCTAGGAATAAGAACTTTAGTACCAACTTTTACTCCTGTTATAACTCTAGCTTCGACCATATAATATGCCATCTGTGTAATTTGCAGTCTCGTACCATTCATTAATCCTCCCATAGGATCGAAATTTCTTAACAACATCACAGGACAGCCAATCTTTAGCCTCAAACTATGGTTGGGTAATCCAGAAGCCTTAACAATATTTAGAAAATCAGGAGTTAAAACTTCATTACCGACAGAGCTTATATCTGTAGGGTCAATTGAATCAGCACTTAGATAGACTATTTCCTTACCTAAACAAAGTTTAACCTTTTGTTAGAAAAAAATTTTCGTCTTAAAAAAATTACGAGTTATAATCAAGACAAATATTCAAACTAAGTTACTAACCTGAGAGCTTATCTAGCTTATAATCATTAATTCGACAAACATCATCATTTGTAGGATAAGAATAGCTCTCTCTTGAAGAAATTTAGGATCCTTTTCCACTTGTAAAAGACGCAATGTCTCCATAGACCTCTCTGCTGATTGCTTCAATTAGATCATTGCATCCATAATAAGAAACTCTTCTGGTATTTCTGTAAGAGCATCACTATCATTAGGTTCCGAAATTTTTTCATCTCCAACATCTAATATCCACTTGGAGAATTTTTCAAGATCCTGAGCCTCTTGAGCAGATAAATTATTAGAAAGCATCGTGAGTTTCAAAACTTTGCAATGCTTCGAGATATATGATGAATTAATCCTTTGGGTATAACTTCGAACATTTTCCATTTTCCATGCATGGTGAGTTCCAATTAGCAGCTTCACAAGGATCATGAATCATCGTCTCTTTAATAACATCGTAAAGCTCAGGTTCTTCGTTAGGGTCTAGTACTTCTGCAAAAACAATTTGGTCAATGTCTGAGCTTTTAGGCATTTTAGATGACGCATCCATGAAAAGCAAAATATGAGCATGTGGTAGACCTCTTTTTTGAAACTCAATGGGGTACATTGCCGAAATAAAATAGCAGAAGAACTTAGATAACTACAAAACAAAGATATATTCATACGAAAAGACAATATAATAAGTACCACTTACATGAAACAGTTTTGCCTAGTAGCTTCTTCTTCGTTAAATTATCCATCAAAGAATCAAGCTTCATTTTGAAAACCCTGCATATAATATCTGGTCTATCTTCAGTTTTCAACTTCCGCTTTTGAAGATACCTTGTGATTTCAGGCTACTTAGGATTGCATGTAAAGGTGATGAATAGATCTGGGTATCCAAAATGTCTACATATAGCTATTGCATCAAGATAGTTATTATTCATATATCTTGTTCCACCTGTGAAAGTTGCAGGTAACGTGAATTATTCATATATCTTGTTCCGAGTATAGCTTCCATGAATACAAGACTGTGTAGCCAAGACCCCATTTTACCTTGCTTGATTGACCCATTGTCAACAGGGTATCCAGATCTTTGGTTCTCTTATAGAGAATTTTGATGTTCTTCAATTGCTCTGTCAGGCGCCCATTCAATTCACAATTATCTTCTTGTTCCTCAGATATCAGCATCTTGAGAAAATCTGAATACTTTGCTTGCTCGGTAATCTGATTATGTGCAATTTCCACCTCACATTGTAATGCAGAGATCTTATCATCATTTTCCTCAATTACTCTCATGTCTGCATCAATGTTGTCTTGCGGCTTTGTAATAGTAAGATCCCTGTTCGCAATTTGTTCCAGTAAATCTTCCTTTTTCTTCTTGGCACTCACCATGGCTAAGCATAAGGTTATATTTTCCTCACACAGAATCTCATCTGATTTGTAGTCCTCATCGTTGTCAATTTCTGCCTCAGAGACAGCATTCTCATCAATAACACCAAGAAATGCAACAAAATTCAGCAATGGTTCTTCATCACTGTCATCATCAGATTGTGACTCATCCTTGCTGATCAGTGATTTTTCTTTTCTTCTGTCCTGACTGACACATTCTCTTCTGACATGCCCAAAACCATCACATGTGTGACATTTGAGAGTCTCCCTTTTCTTAGCTGTTGGACACTCTGTTTTGAAGTGACCATACCGTTCACACTCATGGCACTGCATGTCTGCTTTTCGTGATCCTTTCTCTGTCTGTGAATCAGTCCCTGCTCTCTTTAAATCCTGAGCTGATATGCATTGCCATTTCTCAAATTTCCTGAAGTACTTCTTGACAATCATCCCAACTTACTCATTTAGATCTGTTTCTTGGGGGTTCACTTGTTCTGCCGAGAAGGCAACACTCTTTCCTTTGGACTGAGTCTTCTGTGTTTGTTGCATTTCATATGCTTGCATCATCCCAACAATCTCATTGAACTTCATCTCATCAAAAGCGTGTGATACTTCAATAGCTGATATGTGAGTTTGGAACTTATCAGGCAGGCTTCACAGGAACTTCTTAACCAACTTCTTATCCTTATAGGTTTTGCTTAACACTTGAGCTTCATTAGCAATTGAGCTGAGCTTACCACTGAATTCCTCAATTTATTCTCCAGATCCCATCGTGAGAGTTTTAAATTGTGAAGCCAACATATACATTCGAGTTCTTCTGACATTTGAAGTCCCTTCATATGCAATCTGTAGTGCATTCCCAGCTTCTTTAGTTGTAGTCCATCCTTGCACCTTCTTGAACTGATCTTTGGTGAGAGAGGTCCAGATCATAGACAATGCCTTTGAGTTGAACTTAGATATAGCCTTTTCTTCTGTTGCTACAACACCATTCGCACCAACAACCGTTGGTTCCGTCCACCCTTCTTCAACCATCGTCCAAGCATCCTCATCATAGCCCTTGATCAATGCTTTGATTTGGACCTTCCACCACCCAAAATTTAGTACCAGAGTCCTCACGGAGCCGAGATGTTGCATGCTTTCCATACTTTGTCCCACAATCACACATGATTAATAAGAACAGACAATATTTAGCTGATGCATGCTCTGATACCAATTGTAAGTGCAGAAAACAGAGCAACACTTAATATGACTTGGAAAATGCCAAGTCGAACGCTCCTTTTATTAAATAGAATCAATACAACTTAGATCCACAGATTACCATTGTATTGGCTTTATGTTACTCTAACCCTAGATTGCACCCAAGAGATTCCTAGTTCGAAAACCACTCTTCAACAGATCACACAACCTGTGTATCAATGAAGAGAACACTAACCTTCTTGCTTTGGTTCTTGGTGAAGCTCAAAGACATTGCTAATTCTTGCGGCTCAAAGTGTACAGAACACACTTAGCCTGACTTTCTATTTAAATAGACTACCCAAAACCCTAGACCTAGAATCTAGTGAGTATCTCGTTTGTTGCAAGTTTCCTTGGCGATATATTTGCAAATATACGCCAAGCTTAATTCAAGTCTATCTCTTCCTTTGCCACGTCAGAGGTCACACGTCAGCATACACTCCCTCAGCTACATGTTTTCTGATATCACTCTTGAGATGCTTGATGTCTTATACATCTTCAGTCTCCTCGTCGTTGAGAGAATACTCAGTGATTTTAATAAAATCACGGTGTTTTCCATCGTAAACCAAGTCGAAAGATGGCGTTGAATAGGTTTCATCATAGTTCACGTAGTGAAATTTTGTCTACACAAGTGTTTTCTGGCGTTTAGAATGTTGGTGTAGCAGTTGATTTGACCCATCGGGAAGTACATTGTTGGAGTCCATCGACCTGCAGGTGGTTACGAAGCCTTTATCTCCAACCCATGTTACATTGTTGGAGTCCATTTTGGATCTCGTTGATCCACTGTCAATGCTTATAATATCTAATTTTGATCAAACAAAAAAAAACGATTAGTAAGATTGAAGATAATTGAACTAAAAATATAATAATAAAAATAAAAAATAAGGTAATTGAATTTGTGTGAGGTTAAGATATATATTAACGTATGGAAAGTTTTTAATTTGTAGGTACTTTCTGTGACTGAAAGGATTTTGGCCGAGAGAAAAAGGAGAGTGATGAGATGAAGAAGTGCCGCCATCATCAACGTACTATATTAACTTAATTACATGCTAGCTTACCAAGAAGCATGTTCAATGCTGTTTTTTTATTCAGTATCTTAATATTAAAAATATTAAAAAAACAAAAAGTAAGATATCTGAAGAAAAACGGTTATTGCAGCTCTTATTTAAGAACCGGATCTAAAATTTCTAGACATATGTCATTATGTAACTGGTTTGTTTTTTTTATATTTAAAGTTTATTTATATTATTATATTATATTAATATCTTATACTTAAGAAACGTTTCTTGCATTGAATATGCTCTAATATATAGATAAAACAAGAGCTTTTACATCTAAAGGTATTTTATGACTTCACAATTATATTTAAATACACTTTAAAAATGTGGTGGACTTTGATAAGATGATAAGATCATACTATCCCCTATAATTCAATCATATCTGTCATCTCATCTTTGTTATCTTTTTTTGGTCAAATCATTACCAATTAAGGAAGACAAAGGTTTCAACCCCATTAGAGGAAGATACAACTAAGGCTAACAAAGCAGCTTTTGCGAGGGAGGCCGCAGAGGAATTCTCCTTTCTGGAAATTGCTTTAGAAGAAATACAAGAATAGAAGGATAGAGTCTTTTGAATATCTGAAAGGATCCCTGCAATTTCAGGCAGACATTTTCTAGACTTGATCAAAGAAATAAGGACTTGTGAGTCCGAGTTCAATTAGATTTTCTGGAATCCAAAAGATGTGAATGTCGTGAGTGCCTTTATGATGGAGAGGGCTTCTGCTGCTAGGGTGGATGGAACGAACTGCCTCGATGCAGACCCTTGTCTAATCGTGGATCCTTGGTCGTCCTGCAGCAGCCATCCCATTATGGTGGCTAGAGATAGGGCCTGCAAAGCTCTGTCTGTGAAACACATAAACGTTCTTGGGCTTGAGGATGAAGGTAGTTAGGCTTTTTTTTATGAGGCCCACCAGTTGTTCTTGTTGGGCATGTTATCAATCTTTAGCCTGCTTGATAGCTTTTGAGATTATGTTTTCCGGTGATTGTGAGAGGTCCTTGAAAATCAGCTGATTCCTGGCGATCCAAATGCTCCAGAGCAACCATGGATATAGCGGTGTCGAAGTCATTTCCACAGGTGGGAGCGTTGTTGATCGCTTTGATTTTTGGGATATCTGTTTCGCGAAGGAGTTTGGTAGAGCAGCATCTGGGAGATTTTAGATTGGCGCAATTGACCAAACCCTTTGTGCAAAGGGGAAAATCCAGAGCATATAAACTGTCGATTCAGGGGCATTGCATCATTGCAGAGCAGAGAGTCCGCGAGTCCTCTTATGGCCAGCGCTGCTCCTACTAGGAAGGCTCCTTTCATGGCTTTCCATAGGAAAAAACTTATTTTGGGGGAGATTCTTAGCTGCCAGATGTTAGCTTTCCAGATGAAACTTTCTACTGTCTTGTCCTTCGGTTTCATCCTCAAGAGGTTATACCCTAATTTCACTGTATAGTCGCCTGATTTTTCTGGTTGCCAGACAAGTCTGTCTAAGGGCATTGATCTTCCGGTGATGAGCTGACGAATTTGGCCCTCATACTGAGGTAAGTGTTTTCTGATCGCTTTCAAGTCCCACTCGTTTATTGTTTGGCATAGCAGATCCTTGACTTTGAGGGTTGATGCATTGCGTGTAGGGGCATTATAAGGAGTCGTTGGATTCGTCATGGAGATCCACGGTTGTCGTCATACGCTGATCTCAGAGCATTTTCTTGTTGCCCAGCTAGCCCCTAGCTTTATGACTTCACGCCCTGCTAGGGTCCTTCTCCCCCCATGCGATAGATTTGAAGGTGTCGAACACTCTATGATTATGGCAGTACATGCCTAGTAGAACCTTACCAAGAAGGGAATCCGGTTGATGGATGAGCCACCAACTTAACTTAGCCAGCAGAGCATCATTCTACGTCTCGATGTCCTTAAATCTCAAGCCTTCATATTTCTTAGGTAAGGTAAGTTTTTCCCAGGCTACCTAGCAAATCTTTCTTTGGCCTGGTTTTGTATCCCAATAGAATCGTGTAAGTACTAACAATATTTGTTTGCAAAGTGATATCGGTAGTTTGAAGCAAAGCATCAAGTGGGTACGCATTGCCGAGAGGACGGATTGGAGAAGAACTTGTTTTCCGGCGGTGGACAGGAATTTTGATGTCCAACTGTGTGCCTTCTGTTGGATCTTGTCCACTAGTGCCGTGAAGATGTCCCTTTAACGTCTATCAAAGTGTTCTGGAAGTCCCAGGTATTTCCCTATACCTCCTTCGTTCTGAATGTTTAAAGATCTCTTGATTCTCTCTTTAGCTTCTACTAGGGTCTTTGCAGAGAAGGTGATAGCAGACTTTGGTAGATTGATACTTTGGCCTGATGCTTGTTCGTATTGGCTTAGGATTTTCCGAAGATCTTAGCAGTTTATCTCATTTGATTTGCTGAAGAACATAGTGTCATCTGTGAATAGTAGATGATTCACTAGGGGACTGTTGCGTGCCACTCTCACTCCTGGAAAATCTCCTGTCACCTGAGACTTTTTGCATAAGCCCGAAAGGACTTCAGTGCAAATGATGAAGAAGAACGGTGAAAGAGGATCCCCTTGGCGGAGCCCTCGAGATATTTTTACTAATCCCATTAGACTCTCGTTCATCAAGCATGAATAGGTAACCGTCAAGAAACAATGCATAATCCAGTTTATCCACTTCTGTTTAAATCCAATTTCTCGAGCACGGCTTTTAGAAAACCTCATTCTGGCGTATCATAGGCTTTGCTCATGTCGGTTTTTACTGTCATGGAACAGTGAACTCTAGCCTTTGACGTTCTTAGGAAGTGCAATATTTCATGCGTGATGAGCACATTATCAGAGATGGCTCTTCCTTTGACAAACGCTGATTGATGTTCGGAGATAATGCCACTTAAGATTGATTGAACCCTCTTGGTAAGTATCTTTGCCACTATTTTGTAATATACATTACAAAGTGCAATAAGCCTGTAATCCGAAGCTTTCTTTGGTGCAGTGATTTTAGGGAGCAGGCTGATATGGGTGCATTTGCTCGATCGGGTAATGCTTTAATCTCAAAGAAAGTTCTTATTTCTTGGCTTATGTCCGCTCCTATAATATCCCAAAAGCTTTGGTAAAACCTATCTGAGAACCCATCTGGACCTAGGACCTTGTCGTCATTTATGTCGAAAAATGCCTCTCTTATCTCCTCTAAGGAAGGAATAGAGCAAAGTAGTTCATTCATCTCTGCTGTGATGCAGGGTTGAACAACTTCTGCAACCACCGATAGGTTTGTTTGATCTGAAGCCGTGAAGAGCAGTTGGAAGTATTCCTCGAATACTTTTGCTATGTGACCTTCCTTCTTGTGTGCTACTCCTTGTCCATCTTCAATCACTGTAAGACGGTTTTTTTTATCTTCTTCCTCTCGTAACTGCATGGAAATATCCTGAATTATAATCATCCCTACTTAACCACATAACTCTGCTTCTTTGTTTTCAGAACAGTTCTTCCTCCTTGTAGGCTTTTTTCCAGCGAATCAGAGAGATCCGTGATAATATATGTGTTGGGAGTATCCGCTGAGAGAGCTGCTTTCAGGCCATCTTGAAAGCCTTTGATTTGTTTAGCTGCATTAGAATTTTTTTCCTTTTTCCACTGGATAATTTCTTGATGACATTTGTTAGTCTTAGTAACTACATATTCTGGTTCATATGACTCCCAAGCTGTCGAGATAAGTTGCCTAAACCCTCCTTATCTTTAAGAGTTCTATCATATCTGAAGACCTCTTTTCTTCTTTGCCTTTTCTTATCCAGGAAGGTGATTAAAAGCTGATGGTCAGATCCCTCAAAACGGAGGTACTCACTATTCCTAGCTGGTAACATTTCTGTCTAAGCCGCATTTGCCATTGCCATATCCAACCTTGAGCAAATGAAATGGTTGTACATCTCGGGGGACCCCCTCTCTTTTCTGAATTCTCTAAGATCTCGTTGAAGTCCCCCGTTAGTAGCCATGCCTCATCTCAGTTGAGTCCTATGAGGGAGATGTGATTCCAGTATGCGCAACGAAGCTCTTTTTAGGGAGGGGGGGGGGGGGGGGGTGGGTACTGTATATAAAGGTGACGTGTAAAGAGGAGGGGTCTGATGCTAACTTTGTGTCGATGTAGTTTGGCAAAGATGTTAGCACTTCTAAATCAACTTCAGCCTTCCATAAGAGCGCTAGGCCTCCACTAGCTCCTTGAGGGGGACAGAAGAAGTGATTTAGGAAACACATTCCTTGGACTTTTTCCAGGATGAAAGTGTCTTGCTGCTTGGTCTCCATGACGAAAAGAATGTCCAGGTTTTGATTCTTGTGAATTTCTCGGACTATATGAACTGTCAAGGGGTTCTCCAGTCCTTGGCAGTTCTAGCTTGCAATGACTAAGGAAGCAGAGCTCGACGGGACCGAAAATCCCCTCTGTCTGCTGAAGCTTGGTGTTTTACCATAATGTTCTGCAAGCCTTGTTCCTCGGTAAGTGCATTGGTGATTGAGTTCTCCCTGAGGTCTGAGCGGTTTGAGTGGTTTGACTCTTGCTCGTGCTGTGACGGCCCTGATCGAGAGCGCTTCCTTGGGGGATTCTCCCCTCTAGTAGTGACTCTCTTCTTTGCCATTGCTACTTTGGAAGAATTACTAGAACCCCGTTTCTTTAACATTAGTTTAATTTTTTATTTTCCTATAGCTCTTGATGATGACGCTAGAGGAGGCTTTCTCTGGTTCTTCTGTTTTTGTACCTCTGGAGGAGAGGGACCAAGCCTGAGTGAAGCCGGTGTACGAAACTCCATACCCGGAGTAATGTTTTGTTCTTGTTGAATGGTTGTTTGAGTATTTCCCCATTCATAGAGGATCTCCACTTCTTGTAAATGGTCTGAACTGCTAACAGGAGGGTTGTTGTTGATTGGTGGGGCTTATCTATCAAGGTCAGAGCCTCGAGATCTTGAATGGCTGGAGACTTCTCTCTTCTCTTGGATTCTTGGTTCACACATTGTCTCTCTGGCAGAGTTTGGGGGGGGGGGGGGGGGGGGGGGGGGGGGGGGGGGGGGGGGGGGGGGGGGGGGGGGGGGTGTATGAGAGCTTTGGACCCGGTGAGATCTTTGTCTATCATCCTGCGCAGTGCTTTCTGGGGAGCTTTGTGAAATTGTTTTGTTTGACCGTTGTGATGATTGTCGACCTCCATAACCTTGTGCAGGTGGCGAAACATCTCTGCGCAAGCTTAACTGTGTGTAATGTCTTCTTTCCCATCTGGGTGGAGAGCGGTAGCGGTCCGAGAGGTGTGATTTTGATGGCGAGGGTAATGACTCCTATCTGGGATCTGCTCGGATCTGAGGTAAGGCATTGACTTAAGTTTATCCCCAGCATCTCCGATCTGCCTTGGGAGTCTATCGCTCGATCTATCTTGCACTCTTTTGTTGTGGATATTGAGGTAAACCGGTCTTTGCTCTCTGTTTGCTCTCAAATATTATTTTCTCTTCTTGTCAGCATAATGTTGTTAATGGTTTTTTGTTGGTTGATCCCCATGTCTTTCATTTTTTTTTTTGGGCTCTTCAAGGACAATCCCTTAACTCGTACTGAAGAGAGAAGCATGAGAAACAGTGCTTTTCCAGTTTTTCATATTCCAGATCCACGTTGATGACTTCTCCTGTCGGGAGAATGATTGGTAGGGACATTTCCAGAGGTTTCAGGCCATTTACGGGACCCTGATTTTACCTTCTTCAATGTCCTTGTCCATCACATGACCCAGCTCCTTCCCTATGGTCCTTAGCGTTTGGTCAGACCAGTAGTGAAGTTGTATCCCATGGACTTGATCCAGAACGTGATGGTGGCCGGAAATCATCTCATCGTTTTTATCTCCGCCAAACTATTGGGAAGAAAAAAAATTAACTCCTCCACCACTCTCTCTCTCTCTCTCTCTCTCTCTCTCTCTCTCTCTCTCTCTCTCTCTCTCTCCTTCTTTGCGAGTTAATTAAGGAAGAACATATTTCTTCTCTACTAAACCAATCTTCCTTTTCTCTCTTTCAATTGTTTCATTAATTCTCTCTTTCCATATCTCCATCTCTTCATCTCTCAATCGTTCTATGTTTCTCTTCTCCGAAAATTCTTGAACACAAATCAGAGCATCAACTTTAATGAAAACACTCTTATTAAAAAAAATCTTCTTCTCCTACTCAATCGTCACGACACCCTAATTGAAGAAGAAGAATCATGCATTTCTAAACCACCTCGGCCGGAGGCAAACCTAGGTCTACTATACGAAGCACTTGTCTCGAGATTGGCTAAACAGGGGTGATGGATGGAGAATAATGGATACACTCTCATGGATATGATGGCTGTACAAGTTGATTGTGTCAAAGCGATTTGTGTCCATTGGATTGGTACCACCTCGGCCAGAGAGTAATGGATACACTCTCATAGATACGTGGCTATACACGTTGATTGTGTCAAAGCTATTTGTGTTCATTGGATTTGTACCACCTCGGCCGGATGCAAACCCAGATCTACTATACAAAGCCCTTGTCTTGAGATTGGCTAAACAAATGTGATGGATAGAGAATAATGGATATACTCTAATGGATATGGTGGATATACATGTTGATTGTGTCAAAACGATTTGTATTCACTGGATTAATGGATGGATATTCATTGAAAACTATTGATAGATGGATGTTCGTGAAAACTTATTGATGAATAGATGTTTGTGGACAATTACGTATAGATGAATTGCAACTAAAAAGGAAGACAAAATTAGATGTGAAATAACAAATTTCTTCTCTATTTTTCAAAGGAAGTTGGATTGACAGAAAAGTTAGTAAAAAAGAAAGAGATAGAAAAAAAAATTGTAATAAAAAAGAAAGAGATAAAGAAAGTTATGTGAAGAAAATAAAATATTGTTAAACACAAAGTATTTTTAAATCAATACAACAATAACACCAATGTCTCTCCTAGAGATGACACATCAGGATTTTGAAGCTTTCTGAAGATGACACCTCAGCAAAAATATTCACCATTCAAAACATTTTATTAATACAACTCATCTACTTATTTTATTTTTTAAACTTAAATCCATTAAAAACCCACATACTTTTTTTATTAATCTTTGTTTTATTTTTTTTATCAAACCCAAGCTAAATAATTAATAACCGTAAATAAAAAATATTTATTTTATTTTTTGCCAAACTCAAGTCTAAATAATAAATAACAACAAATAAAAAAAATTAAATCTTTGTTTTGATGGGCAACACAATTTTCTGTTTATGATGGATAATGCAATTTCTTGGTTTTCACACGAAATACAATTTCACAGTTTTTGCGGAAAAATACAATTTGACGATTTTAGCAGAAAATGCAATTTCTCAATTTTGTTAGGAAAACACGATTTCTCGGTTCGACGAGAAAATAATTTTTTTTGGCTTTGGCGGAAAAAGGGAATTTCTCTGTTTTGCCAGGAATAGGGAATTTCTTGGTTTCAGTAGGAAAATGTGATTTTCAGATTTGGTAGCAAAACATAATTTCTCGGTTATGGCGGATAAGCGAATTCTCGGATTTAGCGAGAAAATGTGAATTTTGGTTTTGGTGAGAAAACAAAAAAAAAATTATTTTAACAGGAAAACAAAATATCTTAGTTTTGACGGGAAAATACTCGGTTTTGATAAGAAATGCAACTTTTCAATTTTGACAAAAATACGATTTCTCAGTTTTAATAAGAAATGCAAAATTTCAGCTTTTGACGGATAATGCGATTTCTTGGTTTTCGTGCGAAATTGTGATTTTTTAGTTTTCGCAGAAAATTGGAATTTGATGATTTTGGCGGGAAATGCAATTTTCGGTTTGATGGGAAAACAAAATTTCTTGATTTTGGCGGGAATAAGCAATTTCTTGATTTATATGGAAAATGCAAATTTTCAGTTTTTGACGAATAATGTAATTTTTTTGTTTTTGCGGAAAAATATAATTTCTTAGTTTTCACGGGAAAACATAATTTCTCGGGAGATAATGCACTTTTTGGTTTTGCGAAAAATTGTAATTTTTGGTTTTGGCGGGAATATAAGATTTCTTGGTTTTTGCAGGAAAATTTGATTTTTTGGTTTTTGTAAGAAGATGAATTTTTTTGGTTTTGGTGATACAACATAATTTTTTCGGTTTTAGCGAGAAAACACAGGTTCTCGTGAAAAATGAAATTTTAGATTTTAGGTTTGACGAGACAATGAATTTTTGTTGTTTTGGCGAGAATAGGCGCTTTCTCAGTTTTATGGAAAAATGATGTTTTTTTTATTTTGATGGTAAATACGATTTCTTGATTTTTGTAAGAAGATAAAATTTTTGTGTGCTAAATTTCCAAGTTAAAGTATGTTTACAGTAACCAAAATTTAATTATTTAACTTCAACTAAAACGATATCTCAACAGTTCAAACAGAATTTTCTATTTAATTCTAAAGCAATAGCAATGGTTTTGATATGAATGTTATTGATTATAATTTGATAGTTTCAAAAACATATGTTTATAATAATTATTTGATAGATAAATAAATTTTATAATTCAAGATAATCATATTAATTAATAAATCTTTTTTTAAAATGATATTTTGCTTTATATAATTACAAAAGAGGATCAAGTGACAATTTATTAGAGAAAATAGATTACATTTGCCATTAGCATGAAGCTACTGAAAAAAATACTGCTTTATTATTACATATACATATATAATTAGTTAGCTAAACAAATTTAATAGCAAATTATAATTTCGAAAAATAAATAAATAAAAAATATACAATGTTTATTCAAATTGAAAACATATAAATATATAACTGAAGCTAATAAAAAAATATAATACTTATATATATTATAAAAATAATTTTATTATATTAAAATATATATAAAATTTAGAAAAATAACCCGCAGCGTAGCACGGGTAAATACCTAGTGTAAATAATAACTCAAAAGCGACTTTCACTGTAAATCATTCATAAAATAAAGAACTATCAATGTTTAGTTGACTTGACTTTTAGAGATTGCACAGCTCTATTACTGTGTTTTAGTTTGTGTAGTGCGATAAAAATCAGTTTAGAGAATAAAATATTTCCAACACACGATCATGACAATATATAGAAAGGCAAGTAAATTCTTGAATAATTCTGGTATATATTAACGTACTTCTGCATATCTTTTTTTGGTGTTTACCGTGATTAAAATACTACAGTATCTTTTACAAATTAGAACATTTCCTCAATTATTTAAGGAAATGTAGAAATGGTCACTTATTGTGGGGAACTTGAATGTTTAGGAAGAGGAATTGACTCTTGAGTTTGGTCCAACTTATATTTGGTTGACTTAACATAGCTTGTGGACTAATTGAAGTCACCGCCGCGCTTGTATTTTCTTAGATGGCGCATAGCCTTCAAAGTAAACGGCTCACGTTCATCGATTTTCAGTTATACGTACTTACATTGTATTATTATAAAAATACACATGTACGTATATTTTAGTGAAGTCAATAAGTATATTTAACGTAGTGCGAACAAAATCGTTGGAAAATTTCATGTGTTCAGCCGATTTCCCCGCATCTGCACTAATCGTAGATTATCACTGGTGTAGGCTTCAAATTTCAAAAGTAGACTAAAAATGGAAAACCTTGGAAGTTATAGAACCAAGTGGAGAGGAAAGAAGATTGAAATTTTTGACAACGATGCCATCTTGCAGGATGGCAAGCTTTGGCACTCATCACGGTGGAGATATCGCATCAAATGACCGATGTGTGTAAGAAGAAGTAAAATATTAACTCATTTAGAAGCAATGATCTACAATAATAACCGGAACTATTTTCAGCTGAAATATTATAATCTTCGAAATTTTTAGTTATTTTGTAAATTTTGCAGTGGTAATGCATTAATGTTTTGTTTTTGGTTAAAGACAGATGCATTTAATTTAAACAAAAGGCAGCGTTTTAAATATGACTACAAAACACTTAAAAGAACAAGAAGATCATTTTGAATCAAGCTAATGTCTATGCATTTAAACAACAAAAAGAAATTGTTAATTACTCTAACCATTTTTTAGTTAATTGTCTTATATCTAACTGGAAATGGATATTTGCTTCGACATACCTGAAAATGCCCACTAATTAAACTACAATATTTAGTAGGCTACCACCAAGCATGATCATTCGTATTCAGAGACCTTTTACACCTTTTTCCAAAAACAAAACATGTGGATAATGTTATAGATCGGCATCACTTCTTGTATCGGCGTTAAATTACCTTTTCCCATTACTTAAATAAGAATTGTTGGCCGGACATAAATTAAAAAGAACATTCTTTATAAAAAAAGTTATCATAAATAAGAAAGGACATGAATAACAAATGGATCTTGCTCGTCGACAATTAGCTAGGGTCCATGTCAATGGTGATCATCTTGAACAACGTACGAATCACTCGTGTCACTAGCAAATTGCTGTCCAACTAGAGGCGACATCCCGGTGCCTGTTCCATGCCCTTGAGAACATACGAGAGAGACCATAAATCAATATTACTTGTAAAGCTATATATTTAAACATTTAATATAGTAATATATATATTTATCAATAATATATAAATATACCCGTGGACGTAGTTGGTGCTGTGTTGGACTGTGGCTTAGCATTTTGACGCTTTCTTAAGAAAATAGCTCCAAACGCTGATGAGAGAATTGCAAACACGGAGGCGAACGTAAGACCAAGAATAAGTGGTAATTTGCTTTTCTTCTTTTTTCCACCATTGTTTTTTGTCCCATCTAAAACCGTCATAGAAGGGTGTCAAATTGTATTGTGTATAAATATATCCCACTATTTGTCTAAAATATATAGCAAGTGTAAAATAAAAAAATCGCAATAACAATCATATCTTAAAAAACTGGATACTTATCCCAAAAAAAGAGAGAGAGAGAGGAGAGAGAATTGATATATTGTGAGTACAAACCTGCTACTGCGTTGTCTGCGTTGTTTGTTCGTGGTTTCGCTAGACCGTCTCGGCTGTTACTTATCGAATATATCTCCAAACCATTGATGATGGGCGGCAAAACCGAGTCATCAGTAGACCGAAAGACGATCTTAGACCCCGACGTGGCCATTACATCTCTCAGAACGACTTGAGTCGCTTTCCCAAAAACCGGCACGATGGGACCCGAACCCACTTGTGTGTCGTCCAAGAAAACGTTGAATGACCGTTTTTGGGTCCGACCTAGACTCTGAGGCTCTGAGAAATAAAGAGCCAAGTACACTGGTAGACCAGTCAAAGGGAGGGCCATGTTGGAAAGTTGTATGGTTTCTCCTAACGATGACGATGCCTTCGACATAACAACTTCTGGCGGCTTGTTCGACGCCCCCGTGATGTCTATCGATGGGGCTGAGGTCGTTAGGTCGGTCAGTGTGTCGTCGGACCCTAACGGATACCATGGCCTACCGTAAGGATCTAACGGGTAGCTAAAATATGTTTCCAAGAAACCAACATTAGGTACAAGATCATTCGGATATCAATCATATATGATACTATAACATTGAACCAAAGTAATTATAATTATTAATTAACACAATCCTAAGGTATGTAAACATTTTCTTTAGTACCAAGAGAATCTGACTAACATAATTAACACAGTCCTAAGCTATGTAAAACATGTAATATTAGTTCCGTCCAAGCATCATTCGATTTTCCATTCTGTGAAGTGAAGGATTTGCCTAATATAATTTTTCAATTTATCTAGCGACACTTGGCTATGTAAACTGTTTTTAGTTAAAGAAGTCTCTCTGTGTATACCTTATACTCTCTTTGGCACCGCAAGTAGTTCTTTGTCGGGTAATCAGACCTTCGTTGGGACCAAGATCGGCGTACATGCCCACGTCTAAGCTGTAAACTTCAATGGACGATATAAACGGGTTATAGGATGGAGACGTACGCAAGAGGCATATGCTAATACTCTCATTCGCGGGAGAAAATATCAGCTCCGAGTAATAGAATGTCTCCTCGTCGTTGAGAAAAGTGTCTGTGATCTCAACAGAATCACGGTGTTTCCCGTCGTAAACCAAGTCGAAAGATGGCGGTGAATAGTTCCCGTCATAGTTCTCGTAGTAAAACTTCGTCCGCGCGAGGGTTTTCCGGTGTTTTAACACCGGAATGTTTGTGTAGCAGTTGGTTTGACCCGTTGGGAAGTACCGGAGGGTGTTGATCGGCTTTGTAACGACGTCCAGAATCTTCATGGTCTCGCCGGTGGTAACGAATCCTTTATCTCCGACCCATGTTACATTGTTGGAGTCCACGTAGGATCCCGTTGATCCACAGTCAATGCTTATATCTAATGATGATCAAACAAAGAAAAAGGATTATAGTGAGTTAAAGATAACTGAATTTGGGTGAAATGATGAAAACGTATTAATGTTTTCAGAGTTTTATATTTGTACGTACTTTCTGCGGCTGAAAGGATTATGGCCGAGAGAGAGAAGAGAGTGATGAGATGAAGAAGCACCGCCATTATCAACGAGCTATATAAACTTAATTACATGCACATACCTAATATATAGATAAAATGAAGTATTGTCAATATCGAGTTGACTTGACTTTTAGAGATTGCACAACTCATATAATATTTGTACAGCGGTTCAGATCTGGATTTTAGTAGACAATCGATCGTGAATTCAACAGAAGGAATAATGCTGTGTTTTAGTTTAGAATGTAAAGTATTTACAACACGATTATGATAATATATAGAAAGCCAAGTAAACTCTTGACGAATTTTGGTTTATACTAAGTACTAACGTCTGCGTATCTTTCATTTGGGTGTTTACCGTGATAAGAGACTATGTTAGAATATATTTCTACGTCATTGTGTAGATTATTTTAATGACTTTTTATCGTGTAATCTATTCTTGAATGATTTAGATTTGATTTAATCCAACCCTAGATAGTTTTTTAGAGAAGAAAAAAGAAACAGTAACCTTGATTTATGCTTTTTTGGATTTAGTTTGGACTTAATACGAAGCTTTGCTCGTAGGGATTCGGTTCGCCAAAGAAGTAGGAGCAAAAAATATTTATGTCTTTTGCGATTCCCAGCTTGTCGCCAGCCAGTTCAAAGGAGACTATGATGCGAAGAACGAGCGAATAAACGCTTACCTGAAGCAGGTCAAGGAAATAACAAGGCAATTCGACTCCTTCGAACTAACTAAAATCTCGAGAACTGAAAACACCGCCGCCGACGCTTTAGCAACATTGGCATCAACAACGGATCCTGCACTTCGCCTAATGATTCCAGTAGAAATTTTTTGAGCAACCCAGCATCCAGCTATCCAATGGAGCTTGCAACGTGGTTCTTCACCAAGAAGTTGAAGCGGACGACCCAATGGAAGTAGAAACCGAACAACAAAAGCAACCTTGGCAAAACGAAATTAAGTCCTACCTATCCGAAGGAACTGTCCCGCAAGATAGATGGGCAGCTAGGCGTCTCTGGAGGAAAGCAGCGCACTACTTCATTCAGGACGACAACCTGTTCCGATGGACAGCAAACAAAGTAATACTATGGTGCTGCGACGAAGCACAAGCACAGAAAGTAATGGTCGAAACTCACAAAGGAGCAAGCGGCAACCATTCTGGAGGAAGAGCATTGACCTTGAAGATAAAGAAGTATGGATTATTCTGGCCTAGAATGATCCAATACTGCGAACAATTCGTACTACGGTGCGAACCGTGTCAGAAACATGCGCCCATCATCAACGCTCCTACCGAGCTCCTTCAAACCGCTGTTCCATCGTACCTCTTCATGAGGTGGTCAATAGATGCAATCAGCTCGATGCCTAAGTCAGGTCGCAACCAACATATCCTGGTAATGACGGATTACTTTACAAAGTGGGTTGAAGCTAAAGCATACCCCAGCATTAAGACAATCAACGTCCAGCTTTTCATATGGGAAAACATCATATGTCGGCATGGCCTCCCTTACGAGATCGTCACGGATAATGGGACGCCATTCACCTCGTCGATTTTCCGAAATTTCTGAGTATTGTGGAATACGCATAAATTACTCAACACCTTTCTATCCACAAGGGAACGGACAAGCGGAGGCTTCTAACAAAATAATTCTTGACGGTCTTAAGAAGCGACGAACAGACCTAGAAGGAAGATGGGTAGATGAACTGGACGGGGTCCTCTGGTCCTACCGAACGACTCCACGAACTGCAACAGAGGAAATTCCTTTTTCGTTGTCTCACGGCTGTGAGGCATTAGCACCCGTCAAAGCACATGTACCAAGTGCTCGACGAACCTGAATGGTTTAGGACCCACAACTAAATGACGAAAAACTAGTCAATGCTCTAGATGGATTAGAAGAACTTCGCGATAAAGCTTTATTGCACATTCAGAACTATCAGCAGCAAATCTCCAGATATTACAACAAGAAGGTATGCAGCCGGTTGTTTTCGCTTCATGATTTCGTTTTGCGGAAGGTTACCAGTCCGACAAAACTTAAAGCAAATTGGAAGGGACCATATCGCATCACACATATCATCAAACCCGACATCTACAAACTGGAGAAAATGGATGGAAAACCGGTCAAGCGAGCACGGAATTTGATGAATTTAAGGAAGTACTACCCTTAGAAAATATAGCTTGGCATTTGAAGCTTACAATTAAGAACTACGGATGACATTATCCCATTTCGAGTATGTAGGCAGCCTTCGGGCCCAGTCACTATCCTACTAAAATTACTTTTAACTTTGTTAACCAGTTTAGTGTTTAAAGTAAAAAAGAACTGCCGGTCCAAATTGACTGAAAAATGAGCTCGGTAGGTAGAGCAATATCCCCTTATGCGAATGCATCTTGCTGAATCGATGTTCTGGCCAAACATTCAATTCGAAAAAACAAAAGCAAAAATTTAATTAGTGGCTGGTCACCACTCCTTTGATACTCCGGTTCAATTTAATTACTTCCAAAGTGGATAAGACGAAAGTCGAGGACAACACTCACACGACCCTCGATCATATCTTTCAGGCCGAAGTGAATCCTGAAAGCTTGGTATTCGATCTTGATTGTCGTTTGGTATAAGATGAGCGAATGAATCTCGCTTCCAGCACCGGCCTAAAGAATACCCCGCACCGCAAGGCAAAAGAAACTTTTTGACTTCGCAAAAATCCTTAAAATTAAGGTTTACCTCGTCAACGAGCGTAAACAAAAACATTGAAAATAAATTGTCAAAATTTGATTCATTAAAGGAAAAAGGAGCGTTTGTCTCACATACATTTTTTCTAAAAACAAAAGAGACAACTACAAAATCACTATAAAGAAAGCTAAATACCGCTTCGGCACTTCAATCCCGGCCGCCTCCAGCTCCGAGTCAGAGGGTCGCATATGAATTCACGTTGGAACGGCGAAGTCGTCCTGAGTAAGCAGAGCATCCTTGATCCCGTGACGCTCCATCTTCAGACGGTCGGCATTAGCGGAGTGGGACAGAAGTTCCTTAACCGGAACCTCGTGTCCCACCGATCTCAGCTGCTTATAACAATCTGCTCTTGCCTCGGCATCAACCATCTTAAGCTCGAGACGGTGGACGTCAGGCTCCGGAGCCATAAACTCCTTAATCCGCTTAATGACGGGGTCGTACCATTCGTGGGAACGTCGGTACATCAGGTCGAGGACATGCTCGATAGACCTGCGTTGTTGACCTCGGAACTCCTTCTCGGTGGCAGCTACTTTCTTGGTCTCTTCGGCCGCCATCCTCTCCAAACTCTCCCTGTGGAGTTGTCTATCTTTAGCAGATTCGACCTTGAGCGCCTGACACTCGAGTTCCAAACCAAGCTTCTCGCGCTCGAGTTCTTTGATCTTTGCCAAAGCATCACGAAGCTCTCGATCTTTAACTGTTAATTCCTCGTCTTTCTTCTCTTCTCGCACCGACTCTCGATCATATGAGTCAATCAAGGAAGCGCACAGACCTAGACCCTGCACGAAGCGCTGAGCCATTCGAGAGAAGCAAGTGAACCGCCTCAGCTTTTCCACCGACACACCTTGGTTTGGCTTCGCCCTGCATTGCCAGACCAGGTTCGCCGCGAAGTATTCATCGAACATTGCCGGGGAATCCCCACTCCAGCGAAGCAAGAATTCATGAGGATTGAAGCTGAGCTCTTCATCAGCATCTTCCGGGTCCTTCGGCGAGCTGCTCGTTGGACCTGGCAGGTTAAATCCTTGCTCTTCCGCCATCACAAAAACAAAGTTTTGCTCCTCGACTGGCGATTCAACCTCCGAATCTTCCGTTGGAATTTTTGGAGATGATCGCTCGTTCGCAATAGCCACGTCAGACTCGCTTAGTGGAATATCTTTGACGATTGGATCCTGCGATGGATCCTCCGATCTAGGCTTCATACTCAAAGGGAAATCGGGGAAGTCGATGTCCAACGAAGGAATCTTATCTCTCTTCCTTAGCCTCATGCCTTTAAGAAAGATACGCTAAAACAAGATCTTGAATCAAAAGGAGAAGAAAGAGAATCTTGAAGCAAAGGAGACTATCGCGAGATTCGAAGAGGGAGAGCAAATTCTTTGGAGCAAGAAGATGAAGAGATAAAGACTAAGTAATAAAATCAGAAGGAAATCCTAAAGGGACATATGTCGAGATTCGAACAATCTCGCCGTCTGGTAAACCTTTCGCCTTTCCCGCTTAAAGCAAAACCCTAATTGGATTGGAATATTTAATAATTAATTCCAAGGAAGCGTCACGCGTCAAATCCACTTAAAATCGGGCCGAGCTGGCCATCGCGAAGAAACTTCTTGACGAGCTAACGCTTATTGCGAGATCAAATCCGCTTAACTTCATGAAGTCCGCCGACCTGATTTACAATCAGTCTCGACGAACTGGGGGGGGGGGGGGTGCGTACTGTTAGAGGGGAAATGAGCACATTTCCTAAAAAGCTTTCTCTAACAATAACCTAAGCCCACCAAGACCAAAAAGACTATGCCGACCTAACTTGGAAAAAAGAAAACTCTTAGAGATAATCTTCGAAGTCCGGAAGTATCGGATTGAATCGAAGGATAAAGGAGAATTTTCATATTCTTCGGAGAATGAGATATATTTCCATATCGCAAATATGAAAATATTCACCAAAGGGAAAATGAAAAGGAGTTCGGAGCAACCGACCTCCTATCCTTATAAATAAGAAGACCCCGACGCTGACAAGAACAACTCATACAATCTAAAGAGCAGCAGAGCTAAAACCAGAAACTCCAACGCTTTCTAGTTGATTTCGCAAACATTTTCTTTTCATCTCTCTTGTAATCGCTTCGCTTTACAGCTATTAATAAAAAAATCTTATTCTCTGAAACCCACAACTGTTAATCAAATCCTTAGCGGTGATTTTCTGGTTCAACACAATTCATCAATTGATTTTGTCCTCCCTTTAATCTCCAAAACCTTAAGATTCCCTTTTGATGGACAAAAGAATCAAGACTCTTTCTCTCTATTTGACTTTACGGTTGTTTATGTTTGTATGTGAGTTTT